ATAGTGCATATTGTAACAAGGGTGTATTATCTCAAAGTCAGGCAGGCCATAGTCAATAAAGGAGCAATCAGAAGCATTAGGTCAATCCAAAAGTGTAGTTGTGGTCTTGATCACAGGCAAAGAGGTCGATGCAGGCAGCAAAAAAAAACATAAACTATGAACAAGGCAAGGGTCAAAAACATGGCAAGACTAGACAAGGGACCTTTTTTACAAAGTTACAGTAGAAAAAGACTTAGCAATGTGAGTGAGAATGTGAGCAGTCTATGTAATCAGTCTTTGATGAGCTTCCAGCTGTGTGAGATTAATCAATGTGTAGCTTATTTCAGAGGCATATCAGTAGTTCTCTAGATCTAAAGGCGAGATTGCTGATGATTGTGACACATATAGCTTTTATCACCTATTAAATTGCAGTTTGTCATACTATTTACACTCATCCTGCTTACTAAGTTATTTTCCTAGGGAGTTTCCTAGTACTGGGTTGTGGCTAGAAGGGCATCCGCTGTGTAAAACATATCCTGGAATAGTTGGCAGTTCATTCCATTGTGGCAACCCCTGATAAATAAAGGACTTAGCTGAAGGAAAATGAAGGAATGAATATTTGTGATAGTCATTTAAAAATTTTTTTAAAATGAACTTTTTCAATTTTATTTAATGTCTTTTTTCTGTGCATTAAGTCAAGAACAAAATTACATTGTGCATGCATAATATAGATTTTTTTATTCTGTTTTTTACATCCAAGTATTGCTAGTATGTCTTTGAATAAAAGCAACAAACCATGTCTTGACATTACCCAAAAGGTAAAATGACAATGTATGATTTACTGTTTAAATGATTATGATAATGAGAAAAGTATAATGTCTAAGATACCCAGCATAATCAAAAATAACTAAAAATAACAGTAACAGAGTTTCTTTACATTGGGTTTAATTTTTTTTTTTTTAAATACTAGAACTGTGATGGTAAACAATTCCTAATTATAATAAGATTTACAGTATTGTATATGCAGAAATAACAATGGACTGACTGTCCTTGTGGGCTGGAAAACTAACAATTACACCTTGTCTTTCAGCATAACATGAGATCATTCTTCTTAAATAAGGGGCTTCGGTTTAATGGGGGAAAAGGGTGTGAGTTATAACACTATCATTTTAATCAATTATAAATGAACATTTATAACATTTATGAGCACCTTCCTTCTTAGGTGACAGAAGCAGTTTTATATTTAAAAAATATAAAGAGACATTACAAATCAGAGTGACTGGAGGTAGGGAGCATGATTTAATTTTTTAAATCTTATGAGTTGTAATCATGGTAATGGATATTAACTGACAGAAGCATGTAAATCAGCAGGTTATCTTTTATAATTATCTACATAAGCTTTTTATTAGTTTAAAAGCAGGCAAGTATTATTTCCCTGTGTACGTCCACATTAGTATCCATTTTGAACAATTTTTTTAATCAAAATAAGAGTCTGTGAAATCTTGATAAAGGTGTTCACAGTTATTTTTGTATAAAGCTATTATTTTTTATGAGATTAGATTATGTATGTTAAAGAGCTGTATGGATGTTATGTGCTATTTCATAGAAATTCATTCATTCATTTTCTTTTCCGCTTAGTCCCTTTATTAATCTGGGGTCACCACAGCGGAGTGAACCGCCAACTTATCCAGCATATTTTTTACACAGCGCATGCCCTTCCAGCTGCAACCCATCTCTGGGAAACACCCATACATTCTTATTCACACTCATCCACTACGAACAATTTAGCCTATAATTCACCTGTACCGCATGTCTTTGGACTGAGAAGGAAAGCGGAACACCCAGAGGAAACTCACACAAATGCAAGGAGAACATGCACACTCCACACAGAAATGCCAACTGACCCAGCCGAGGCTCCAACCAGCGACCTTCTTGCTGTGCGGCGACTGCACTACCTACTGCGCCACTGCATCACCATTTCATAGAAATACTACAATTCATTATTTTAAAACAAATAAAAATAAAACACCCAACTTCAATTGATATATTATTTGTTTACCTGCTCGTGTCACTGTGACCAAACTGCCAACAGTCACAGTGTTTAGTAACTTTTAATATCAATTGTTCTAATATTATTTGGTATAATTGATTGAGTCTTTTCTTCCAATTGCGAAAGCAGTATAAATTATACATTATTTTCCATAACATTAACATGGTCCTTAAATATTAAAAGATGATCATCAGGAAACAATGTAGACTTATTTAAAATAGTTTTTAAAGGAAAAAATGAAGGAACATCAATGCTGGCACTGTGTAAATAATACAGAATTGTGTAATTAATAAAAAGTAAGTGCAATCTGATAATGACCACCTTAAAATGCAAAAGTACAACATCTGCAAAATGTGATTTTGTAATTCAGACTTCATGTTATCATTTACAACCAAGCACTGCTTGCTTGAGTTGACATTAATTAACAAGGTGTACACAGCACATATACACCAATCAACGGTTTGTTTTCAAAGAAACTGTTTGTTTTCAAAGAAATCTCTTGCTCATCAAGGCTGAATTTATTTGATCAACATTTACAATCAAAACAGTAATACTGAAACATACTACTGCAGTTTTATATTTAGGTAAGGTTGTATAAGTGTTAGTTAATGTATTTACATATTTACAAACAATGAACAATACATTTATTACAGTGTCTATTCATCTGTTAACGTTAGTTCATGAAAATAAAGTTGTCCATTGCTGGTTCATATTAACCCACAGTCCATTTAATGTTAACAAACATGAATTTGGATTTTAATAATGCATTAGTAAATGTTAGTGAATACATTAATTAAAGTGTAAAATAACAGACTAGTCGTGTTTTGTTTATGCTTTGAACAAATCTGTCTTACAAATTTTGATCTGCAATTTAAAAAAACAACAACTTGTGTTGACTTTTTACAGGACGACAAAGTGGCTCTGTGGTTAGCACTGTTGTCTCACAAGCAAGAAGGTCACTGATTCTGTGTGGAGTTTGCATGTTCCCCACGTGTTCGTGTGGGTGTCCTCTAGGTGCTACGGTTTTCCCCACAGTCCAAAGACATGTGCTGGTGAATTGAATAAACTAAATTGGTTGCAGAGAGTGTATGGATGTTTCCCAGAACTGGGTAGCAGCTGGAAGGGTATCTGCTGCTTAAAACATATGCTAAAGTTGGTGGTTCATTCTGCTGTGGTGACCCCAAATGAATAAAGAGTCTAAGCCCAAGAAAAATGAATGAATGAGTGAATGGCATGTTTACAGCTTTCTTTTTAGACAATCTACTGTAGGTTGGTCATGAAAATTGCAAAAAATGTGTAATGAGCTGCAGGTACATTTCATGTCTAATTGTATGTATTTATATTTAATTACCCTATTTTGCATATGATTTATTGTTTCAAACTAAAACGAGCAATAAAAGTAATTTTGTTTACAACATCAAAACGGTTGGAGAAGAGATCAAAGTTCTATAATGCAATTAAAAAGCGTAAATAAACACCCATGATTCCCGAGCTTCAGGCAACTGTTAATTAACAGCTTTTATTTATTCAGCTGTGACAAGATTGTTTGGCATGAAGTTCAGTGGAACAAGAATTATTTTTAATTGAATTTGTTTATTCTTTACTATAACTATTGATCAGTTAACGCATCCCCGTTGATTAAACTTGATCTAAAAATGATGGTTAATGCTATTTGATACGCCTGTGGGGATACTTGTTACAAACACATTTTGCTTAAACATTTCTATCCAAATCCCTCTCGGTTTTTTTTCTAAGGACTTTTTTTCAAAACTAGGGGGCAGCTGTTACCTGGTAAAAGGAGTGGTTTAGTTTGGCTCTGCGCCAAAGGGCGGAGTTTAGTTTTGGAGGAGTGATGATAGTTTGAAAGAGCATGCAGGACAGCAGCCAGCCAGGAAATACAATTTCAACCTTGTCTAATTAGACCTTCCACCCTCTGTCTCGTTTATGTAAACAGTGATATTAGCTACAAGAAACCAACTCGTTTATCTTGACATGTAAACAACTTACGGTTGGGTGACAGAAAAAAAGCATGTCAGTCAATTCATAACACTGTTTAAATTGTAATACGAGGAATTTCCAGTAAATAAATAAAACAGACGCTTAAATAATAGATATAGCATACATTTAAAAGTCAAACAAAATTAAGCTAATTATCTGCATGTGCGCTTCTAAACAGCGCCGTCGCTAGTGACAACTGAATCTAGGCAACGACTAACTGATAACAAAAGTGGTAAAAGCCGCTCTAAACTCACTGAATTTATTTGAATGGGACATCACAGTGGCTAAAAGCACGAGTGGTCTCTACTATGGTGCCCCCCTCCCCTTCTGATATCCTCAGACCCCGCTCGTGATTGAAAGTAAGAGATGGGCTGGGCCGCCTGCCGTCTTTTGTGGCGCGTGTGACAATAGCTGAAGGTGATCGCGGGAACGGCAGCATCACCGTAGCCTATTGCTTTTCGCGAAGAACCACCGAGGGCAGCACGTCGGCTCACATCCCTCAGAAAGAGATATCACAAGTTTACCCACGACCACTTTGACGCGAGCTGGACTAACACCGGTCTCACTCCTCCTCCTCCTCCACGCGTGGGCTGCTCGCGCTGGGGGATTGAAGAGCGGCGCGAGAGAGCTCAGTATCCCCGCGTTCAACTCACAATAACGGATTCATTCGTGAACGGCGGATGTCATTTCTCACGGGAAACCACCCAAAGGCTTTATTTAAGCACCCAAGCGTCTCTTAACAAATTTGGGGCTGGATATCCGTCTTTTAACCGCTCGAGACGCATCTTACTCGGGAGAAATTGATATCGTTGTGGTGGAGGAGTCGGTACACGCACTTTCACGCGGTCCGAACAGGTGCACGCGTTCATAACTCCATCAGGACTGCTTTCTGAAGGTCTGAGGGTCGACTAGGAATTTATAACTACATTTACATTTTCTGCAATATCTGGACTTAATCGCCAGTGCAGAAAACATGGATATCAAATGGCTCATTATAGCCTTTACGGTTGTGGGTAAGTGATGTTTTTACTGCTTACTTTAACATTGAGTGACCGTGTTTAATTGCCTTAAGAGTTGATTTATAAGGTGCCCTTTTATTTCACTGCATGCACTTGTTGCAGTTTTTTGTGTCATCTTTTGATTAATGGACCTGGTATTTGAGACTTGAGCCTATAACTAGGCTACACGTTAATAATCTGAAGGTGAAGCTACATTGATACGTTTTGCTGCCTTCACATAAGACTAACCCAAATTATGTGTTGGTGTCATAGAAATTGAAATATAAAGCATTTTTGACTAACTTGAACAATTGTAGATAATAGTAGAATATCTCGGGTTACCTCGGGTCGTTTCAGTTAATGTACTGTGGATGTCGGAAAGGCTCATGGTGTAGTTATAAATTCTGTGTTTTTATCAAAAACATCTTAAAGTTGTTATTTTGACTGCTTATGAAATGAAGGCATGCACTAAAATATTGATGATTGTATAAAAAGTCTTGAATATTTGGTTGGATGATTTTATGTGGGAAGTATGTCTTAGATGCTTTAGTTGTAATGAAGCTATTTAGATTATGATAGTTCAACCAGAATTTAAAATTTGCCATTGATTTCTTAATCTTAGTGCTGTCCAAGATGTAAGTGACTTTTTTCCTCTGTCGAATAATAAAGCAGATTTTGATTGGTTCCTTGGCTCACAGAATGCAAGTGAACTGCTACTAATACTGTGAGAGTTAAAAATATACACAAACATCTAAAAATTAGTACCCATAGCTACATTCAAAGCTCATGCAAAGCGAAATGACCAGTCTAAACAAGAAATTAAACAGTTATATTTTTGTTACCTTTAATTTACAATAATGGCAAGCAGTCTTGAGCATGTTCACAACAAGCACCAGCATTGCCACATCCAGGATTAGAGCTAGTACCATTGTGATGAACAATACAACATATTTTTTCTCCCACTCTATTGTAAACAAACAGCATCAGTTCACATGTGAGTTTGTGATGTCATGTGACAGCAAGCTTGCACTCCAGACTGTTGTGTACGTACTGTACATGCTCCTGACTGTCAAGGCTTTTACAGTATTTACTTTTAAATGGCTGAAAGCCATTGATTTGCATATTCTGAATGACCTGTTACCACAATTTCGGCTAAAAATCCTCTGTCCCACAGAATAGGAAAATTACCTACATCTTGGAAAGCCAGAGTAAGTAAATTTAAAGCAAATAAATAGTTTTTATGAGTATTTTCCATTAAAATTAGCATGGATTGAAAGTTGCGTGTTATAATTTCATGTGCTTGTCTAAATTCGTGTGTTAATTATGATCCAGAAGCATGCTCTGACTTGTTTTCCCACCCCACTTTGACAAACACAAGGCAGCTGGGTTTTAACAGCTCTGGCCAGATGAGTGGGGTTTGGTTTGGGGTTAATGTTGGTTTAGAGCGCCCAGCAGGAGATTAATGTTCCTCTATGGGGGGACGTAAAATCAAGTAAACACTGAAGCAGCACACTGATTGATTTGAGGGCATGGCACACAATTTCATTCTAAGAGGTGCACACTGTACCTTTTAGCTAATTATAAATGTTTTACATAAGAACAAATTAACAGGCTTTTTGAGAAGTAGTATCAAGTAGTATCTAGATCCAGAGACTACAGCGCATACATAAAATCAGCTTTTATTATAGACTGACATCTAGTGGGTAAGGGCTGGGCTGATAAAAAATATCATATCGAATCGTGATAATTTATGTCAATAATCATGATAAGCTATGGACATTTTTATTTTAAATTGATAAATGCAAAGAGCCAATCACACAGCAGACATATGCAACAACAGGAATCTGTAATTGTGTTGATATAAGAGATATGCTACGTCACCCAGTATTGTTTAGTGAGCTTGATTCACTTTCCCGCCGGCAGAAATTACTGTTAAACTGTTTGTTTATTTTAATGATGATTATTTTTACTATTTGAATTAAAACATTTTTTAACATAATTCTGTAATTGTCAATTGTAATCTGTTACTTATATTGAAATGTATATCGTTATCATTCAATATGCAAAATAATTATCGAGATTGCATTTCTGCCATATCGCCCAGATATAGGGTGGGTTGACATCACATGAGTAACTAGTTATAGATTATACTTATGGTGCATTCATTATTCAACTGAATGCATACACAGTAGCCAGGTGGTTATTGTGCCAAATTATAACCGAGTTAAATCAGTGCTCAAGGTTTCCTTAGTTAGAATCCTGGCTCATGGACCTTTCCTTTTCCCATCCCCTATTCTCACTCCCACTTAATTTGATGTAATCCCACTGTCCTATCAAATAAAAGCAAAGAATAAATATAAAAAAAAAAAATACTTCTTGCTAGTATGAGTGGAAAACAAAAATAAATTTAAAGTTATGGTGGATGGGCAATGTTTATTATTATTATTATCATTATTTGCAGTAAAGTTAAATTTGGCTCCTAGCAAAATGATTTGAGCAAATCTGACATCATATATTATGACTTCCCAGATCATAAATCTGAAAATCCAAGGAGTATTGCGATTCTGTAATTCTTAACCTAAATTATAAAGAAAATTGTCAGAAATATTATGTTTTATATGTTATAAAAAGTGTTATTTGCACGTCACAATTTATTCAATTTTTGTTAATTTTGTAGATAACTGACCAACAAAAAATACATTAAAATAACGATACAAATGATACCAAATTAAATATATTACAAAATAGCATTTTTCCAACACAATTAGGCTATATAAAGTGCTCAAAAATCATTTCAATGTTTCCTGTTGCTATTTTGGGTTTTTCCATCCATTGTTTTTTCAGTCTTATCAGGTAACAATTCAAAGTAATTCAAAATTTCACTTTGTGAGTAGTTCTTTTTTAGAGATTGTTGCGGTTTTAGCTACTAAATCATATTGAGAGAAACCGAAATGAACCAATTCAGATTTGCGTTCAAAATGTCAGAAAACGTGCAAGCTTTAAGTGCTCCACTGACAATTCAAATAAAATGGTCTATTATTACACTAACGTGTTAGAATTTTAGTTACTTTTCTACATGCAACATTATCTATTGTAGATAGACCTTTAATGACGATACTACCGTTTACAAACTACAGCAGCACTGCCAGTATTTCGGAGCCATAGTATCATGATACTACCATAGTACCAGTAAACCGTGCAACCCTAACTACTAATAGGGACAATATGTAATAATTAAAAAAGCTAATAAAACCAAAGCTATCGTGACCCACAACAGATAAATGTACTCTAAAAGTCCATCTTTGTCCAAGTTTGAAGTGTTGAACTGCTACTTGAAGGGACACAGTCAGTTTGTTTTATTACATGTCTAAGTTTATGACACAAAAATACACCTTGTTCCTTCAAGCCAAACCACACACACCAAGTTTCAGACTCACCTGTGTGATATCAGCGGCTCCAGTGTGTCACTGGGTTACTAGCACATTCTCTTAGTCATACAGACGTCAAAACAGATGTGTTTTATTCAGATATGTCTATTGATGATGACTCCATTGTCTAGGTTATACTCTTAAAACCACTGGACATCTGGAGCTCTGTGTTGTTTATATGAAAGCATGTTTTGGCATTCAACTGGGTTAATATGACATTGAGCTTGAACTCTCTTGTTGGATTAACCTAACCCCCCACAGACTCTATCCCCCATATCCATGCAGATAAGTGGGGTCAGGATAGAAAAAGGCTGTTATTTCATTAATCACCACTCTTTTCTGCATACAAAATAGTGCTTCCCAAGCTGCCGTCAGTACTTATACAAAGTCTTTCCCCAAGTGTCAGTCACAGACAAAACCATTAATGTCTGAATTTACATATTCTACCCTCTATGCGTCCCTCCCCCATTCGCTTTCGTCCCCTTTCTCACACATGCAAAATACTGTCACATGAACTCTCTACCTCCTAACAAACAACAGATGGCTGTACCCTCCTGGACAAGAGGCATGTTAGTTCTGCAGGGAGGGACAGGGACACTGATGCCTTTTGCATAACTTTTTTTTTTTTTTAATCTGAAATTGACTTCTGTTGTTGCATTCATTTGCATTAGCTCTCAGCAGGAGGTTTTGCTCAAACTAGCAGACTTACTGTCATATTTGTAATCTTTTTATGGTATTGCAATACTGTCTGTAATGGTTGTAATTCATTTAATTTATACACAACTTTCACTACACTTACGGTCACCATACAGACATAATAAAAACAGAATCATTTTGAGAAATAAATTATATAAGGCTGGAAGATGCGGAATACTTTATGCATGTTTAGTCGTTGTTAATGTTAATTTTTAGAAAGTATTAAGATTGTCACTGTTTTGAAAATCAGTAGACAGGGAGTTCCATAAAGGAAAGGCAGAATATTGGGGTAAAAGTGTAGATATAATAGGGCTAGGGATAAAATCTATATAGGTATGTATTGACTGAACACCATTGTCAATATTGATAATAAAAAAAGTTTGTTATGTAGTTTTGGTTTGAAGCACTATAGTTTTATTAAAATGTGACTGCTGAGCGCACGCCTTTAAAGCAGTGCCCATAAGCTTGGGGTGTTAGTTTGTCATTTCCAATGGAGGAATTTTCTGGGTACACCTAGTTGAAAAACATAAACTTTTCCGAATGCCCAGAGCACACTGCGATTTATGTAAGTAGAACTAACCAATCTACTTCACATATTGTATGGAATACACACATATCAGTAATAATCAGTAATCGCCCAGTCCTAAGATATGTAGTAAAATAACTGAGAGCCTAACAGGTAAAAAGCAACATGTGACCTTGAAAGGCCAGTAAAGCTGGGTGGCATCATCAAGGCAGCAAAAATGAATAGTATTTAAAAATTTAAAAATATGACCAAGCAATCGTTAATAAGTAATAAACTGAAGTGGACCCAAAACTGAGCCTTGATGAATGCCACTGTTAACCTGAGAATACTTGGATGAATTTGTTTTTGAGCTGTATATACTAAGT